GTATAGAACAGACTTTTGGACTCTATGGGAGAAGGCGAGGGTGGGATGATCTGAGAGAACAGCAGTGAAACATGTATATTATCAACTGTGAAACAGATCACCAGTGCAGGTTGGATGCATGAGACAAGTGCTCGGGGCTGGTGCCACTGGGATGACCCAGAGGGATGGGATGGGGAGGGAGGTGGGAGGGGCGTTCAGGATGAGGAACACATGTAAATCCATGGCTGATTCATGTCAATGTATGGCAAAAACCACTACAATATTGTAAAAAAAAAAAAATGGAAGAGGAAGCTTGACCCTATTGAGAGGCAACACAGAAGACAAAGAAGAGATGAGGGTTCAAGGGTTGAGTCCTCTAGAAGGTGAGAGCAGATGGGATGGTCTGATCTTTGCTGGGACACAATGCCTTCTTGCTTTTAACTAGAAGGTAGTAAAGGTATAGATGCAGGAAAAATTGGTAATAGAAAGACAAAGGAGTTTCCATTCAATGGCTGCTACTTCTTCAATGATCATGGATCATTATCTATAAAGGGTGGAGATTGGAGTGTTGAAGCTTATGAAAAGGGGCATGAAATTCCATGGGAAAAGGCTGGGAAAGCAGCCCAACATGGTGGGGAAAGGTTAAGAAAAAATCTAAGGTTCTATTTTGCAAGGTTAAATGTCCAACAGGTATCCAAATAAAAAACAGGAATATTATTATTCATCTTTGCTTATGCTTCATGAAGCACAGTATAACAAATAATAGGTACATGAAAGAATGAAGATTAAATCTTTTCATATGTTCTTAGCACCTTTTTACATTGTTGGCCATATTCTACAATGGAACTGAAGAAAAAATAGAAATGATGTACCTTATCAATCAATCGCTATCAAATGAATTTTCCTTTTCCTCAGTTTTAGTTCTGTGTGTTCTTGGAAGAAAAACAATCTGTGTCTTCCAATGTTACAAATTCTTCATTTTATCAAAAACTGACATGTTCATCCTCTAAAATAACTGTTCAGCAGAATTCACCAATGGGGCAATTTTCATTAAAAAAAAAACTAAGAGACAAACTCTGCATCCCTATGGTAACACAATTTGTGACAATCATAAGGATATAGCTGAAAAAGAAATTAGAAGCTCTTACCAAGAAGGATTAACCTGATCTCTGTACTGGAGATGTTCGTGCTGCTGCTAAGTCGCACGTGCATCATAAGTCAAGAAAGCCTTTAGCTTGTGTACGGGAATCTCAGGGTGACCCCAGCAAACAATAAGCACACTGTGCTGTTTGTTTATCATTTATCAATTGAGAAATTGAAAAAAAAAAGATTATAAATGCATCACTTGCAGTAGAAATTTTTATTACACTAAGCTCCATTGAAAAGGGCTCCATTCATGCAAGAAGCACTGTTTTGGCTGGATGAACCGTCAGATTTTTACAGTTATAATTCAAGCATATACTTACTACGTATATTGAGTGCACTCTCCTAGTTCCTGTTGCTACAGTCAGACTATAACTGCGTATTTGCGGTCATGCTTAACTACAGTAATTCAGAACTTCAGCTGTCAAGTTTGGAGCTAATATTCTCATGTATGCAGTTCATGTTCTACTCTTAAAAATAATTCCTTGTTTGCTATCAGAAGCTCCTAATATAATACACAAAATAGCAGGATCAATTTTTTAAAATAATCTATATCTTTAACTAAATGTAAATACAATGTACTTTTTTCCCTGAAAATATCCCCTTCCTTCAGTAACTATAAACCCTGGTGAAGGAGTAAAACAGAAGAACATATTAAATATATACAAAACACACACAGAGAACAGCAGTGTTTACAGGGAGGAAAGGAAGGAAAATCTCAGTTTTGTGCTAGACTATCCTTTGAGGCATTTTTTTTAAGTGTGGAGGCACCAATTATTTCTCCTTTGCTGGAAGGTCTACACATTTAAAGGTTCTGTAGGTCCACTAAGAAAATAAGCAACTGTTTCTCTGTATCATTAAACACAACAGGATACCAGTCCTGTGCCGATTTTAAAACACTAACAAAATTCTAACTCTGAATATTAAGATTTAACATTTCATTTTCAAGAGAAGCAAAGAGTTGTTTTGTCTCCAAAGAGCATTAGAACCATACTCCAAATTGTCAATTGCACAATATCTCTAGCACTGAAGGCTAGCTCCATTGCAGAATCTTACAATGCCAGAGTCTGAAGAAAACTTGCAGGTCCCCTATTCCAATCTGACACCCAAGACAGGAATTTTTTTCCTCAGCATCGCTGACAGATGGTCAGTCTCTGTTTCAATTACTCCAGTGGGGGAGTTCTCAAGAGAAGATTCCCAAGGGATATGATGAAATGCTAGAATCAACCATTCAGACAGAGAGTACAGCTCCAAGAAGCCTGTAGATACAGACAGCGTTGCCAGACACTAAAACCAGACTTCCAAAAGAAAGTGATTCAGAATCAGCAACGTTAAGACATTTAGACCCCCCAGTCCTGGGACCACCCTAGGTCTTTTTATTGGCCTGGGAAGTAGCGTCTACAATCTGGGAAGCAAGGTGGCTTTTCTCCTGCTGGTTTCTTAAAGAATTGATTCTTTCAGGCTCACAGCGAGGGTTTGTTAGGCTCGGAGAGGATCAAATTTCTTCCTTCTGAAAACCAAGCCAAGGGACCCCCTGGTGGAATTGTTAATGCTTAAAATACTCCTAACTTTGGTCTTAAAATTCTCACTACAATAAACCAGGGCATTCCGAGCTCTTCTTTTAAAGGTATATACAGGCTAAGCTGTAGCTGAAGTAGTTTGGTTGGTGTAGGGTTGATGTGTGGGGGTTGATGGTTTAAGCGCAGCCCTTCATCCCGCCGTGAAGTCCGGTTTACCTGACCAGGAAAGGCGAGCGAGCGGGGCAAAGCTGCCAGCACACCCCCTGCTGGACCCCGTCACAGGGTTGTCCGGCCCTTACCTGTCGATGCTGATCACGCACAGGGTCATGATCGAGGCCGTGCAGCACATGACGTCCATGGCGATAAAGACGTTGCAGAAGAAATGGCCAAAGATCCACTTGCCCCCAATAAGGTCGGTGACGCTGACGAAGGGCATGACCGCCACGGCCACCGAGAGGTCGGCCAGCGCCAGGGACACGATCAGGTAGTTGGAGGGCTGGCGGAGCTTCTTGACGAAGCACACCGAAATCACCACCAGGCAGTTGCCTGCGATCGTCAGCAGCGTGATGAGCGTCAGGATGGAGCCGATCACAACTTTCTCGGCTCTGCCGTAGTTGATCTGCTCCCAGCAGCCGGAGGTATTGTCCCGCGGCGCGTCCCGGGTGGGCCCGGGGCTAGCCGTCACCTCCACGACCCCGTGCAGCAGGTGCGGCGCCCAGGAGCCCGCGACCGGGCCGGCGCCGTCGGGGCTCAGGTCGGGCAGCCCGCGCCCCACCTCCGGCAGGAAGAAAGAGCGGAGGTGCCCGTAGAGGTCCGGGCGGCCGCTGCTATTAACTTCCATCATCGTGCCGCTGTGCGCCGCTGCCCATGGAGCCGGCGCCCCAGCCACGCGCTGCGGCTGCCGGCCCGGGGGCTTCACCTCGCCGGTTCCGCTCCGCTCGGCCCAGCCATGAGGCCCGCGCTGACCGCAGGGGGGCGCCCCGGCTCGGCCTCGCGGGTTCGCACGTCCCGGTCCCGCAGCCGCAGCGGACAACACAGGAGCGAGGCCGCCCCGGGGACTACTTGCAGGAGACGTCTCCGGCACCCGACGGACGCCCGGGACGCGCGGGTTCGCAAGCCGGCGGGCCGGGCTCGTCTCCCCTGCGGCAGCCACGCCGCGTCCCCGTCGCCGCCGCCGCGTCCGGCCGCTGACCGCGTGCCCCGGGATCCCGGACGGGCTTCCCCGGCTAGGCAGGGGCCGCCGTCTCTCCCGCGCCACCCCCCACCCACTGGGCGAGGGGAGGCGCTCCTCGCGCCTCCCGGGATCCCGAGCCGCCTCGCCCGGGGGATCTTTCTTTCCGCGGGAGGCTCATACGCCCTCCGACCGATCCGAACTCCCTTGCAGTGGTCAGGATAGTTTAGTGGGGGAGGACTAGGGAGCCAGCGGATGTCCGGACTCATTGCAAAATGAAGAACCCGGGGAGGAATTTTTTTTTTATCTTAATTTTTTAAAAGACCAAAAAAAAAAAAAACCTTTCTGAGCACTATACCAAGCAACAGATAATTTCCAATTCTTATTTTGACCACTGATGGGAGGAAACGAAGAGGAAAAAAGAGAAGCAGCTGAATGGGGCGGGGGTGAGAGCTCAGATGGAGAAAAGGGACAGCGAGGGACGTCGTAGGGTCCTGGCACCTGGGAGGAGCTAGGGGCTCTGGAGAAGGGCCTTCAGAGAGCTTTAAAAAAAACCCATCGTGACAAACCCTCCAGGCGTCTAAAAACCGGCCTTTCCGCTTTGAAATAGACGTTGGCTATATTCAGATTTCAGAGCCTATGTTCAGACTTCAGAGCCTAATATATTGAAATATTCAGAGCCTACTATATAGAAATGAGAGCTAATTCTCCATGGTGTTCTGGAACTCTTGCACATAAGAAACGATCGCTTATAATGTTCTGCAGAAGAATCCTGGAGATGTATGTTGATTTAATCCCTATTGCCTAAAATCCCCTTGGTATTGAAACCCTGTCAGGGTGGCTGGTTTTTTTTTATTTGTGAGACTTATTTCATTCCATTTTGTTCAAATATTTTATCGGAAGCTAGCAATGATTTCTTTAGTTTAAAGACCCTTAAAAATAAGCAAATCTGTTTTCTAGTTAGGCCCCAGTGTATCATAAATAAGAAGAAAGGGAACAGAAACCTCAAAATATATTGATATTAGTGCTGGGTTGGGTAACACTCTTCATTCTTCAAGGTTTTTCATCCCTCCTGTTTTTTCAGATAAGGAAACAAAGTTGCTATTTCAGTCAGCTAGTAATAGGTTTCAAACCCAGGTTATTCTGATTACTATGTTCATATTCTTCCCTCTAAACATTCCCCCCAAAATTTTTTTAAGTGGAAAAAAAATAAATCCCTAAATCTTGGGGCAATATTGACAGCTCTTTCACTGCTGTGAACGTGTCAGGGGCTCTCCTCTGGGGTAAGCAGATCAGTACATTCAGAGGAAGAGTGGAAGGTAACATAGAGATCACAGAGCAGCACTGTTTCATAGTTAAGAGGATGGGTTAGGAAGTGTCTTCAACCTTACCTAAGGGGACGACAGAGGATGAGATGGCTGGATGGCATCACCGACTCGATGGACATGAGTTTGAGTAAACTCCAGGAGTTTGTGATGGACAGGGAGGCCTGGCGTGCTGCGATTCATGGGGTCGCAAAGAGTCGGACACGACTGAGCGACAGAACTCACTGAAGTTAGTATTAAATAACGTAATTTCAGACAGAAGAAAACTAGTTTGCAGTTGGAAGGCATCTGAAAAACCATTCTCTTCAATGAAGAAAAGGAAGTAGAGGCTGGGACAACTGACTTGTCCAAGATCATTCGTGACTACATTGAAACAGATCAGGTTTTAGGTTTTGTGGTTTAGAATTGTCTCAAAGCCTCATAAAAATTCCTTAATGTAGTTAGTAAATTTCACAGGATGTTCTGGGCTTTTCTCACTTTGACTTTTTAACTCATTTTAATTCATTTTGGCTTTTCTTATTTTTCCCTTCTTGAGAACTCTAATCAGGGTCAGCTTACTTTCTGTCTTGACTCTTTTAAGTAATATTCTACATTAATTAATTATACAAAGAATCTGAAAAGCAATATTCTATATTTGAATCTACAGTCAGTATAATTAGCCACCTACAGTCTGGGCAGCCCTTACCCAGCCCACTTAGGTTTCATAGCAGCTTCTGATGTTTTTTACTTCTGTTTTTTTCATTGTAGACATATAAATGCACCAAATAATCAGTAAAATAGTACTTTCAAATTTTATTTCCTCTTCCACTTTCAATATAACATTAGTTCCAAACTCCCCTTTTTATAGAGAAGTCACCTCTATTATATTATCCCTGGTGATGGCTGAGTGTATTTCCTAAGAGTTGCTAGGTTTTTAATTTATAAGCTGTCACAATGCATAAACACAGTTATTGAAAATCTCAGCCTCTGCAGCATTGCTTATGTCGAGTTTAAATTTCATCTATCATTGTATCATTCCAAAAATCCAGACAGAACAACCTGGAATTCTTTCAGTTTCCCTCTAACTTTGACTAACAAATAATCATATCTTAATAAAAATGCTAAAATCTCATTTATTCTTTTCCATAATTTTCTCACAAAAAATGCTAAAGATACAGCTTAACAAAATGTTCATTAAAATACCTAACATTCACCTAAATGGGTTGTTTTGCCCTTGGTTTCCTGGGGTTTTAAAATCCATATCAGGGTGTTGCTGCCTTTCCCTTCCTCCTGCCAGCCTACTCTGGCTGTTATTTTAGAGATAATAAGAGAAGTGTTGGCATTTAAATCAAATCATGTCTTTAGTTTTTATCCCTTGTATTTCTTTCATTAAAAAAATATAAATCTGCTAACTTTAAAAACTACCAGTCCTTGTCTAGACTCTCATCTCCTATAACAGCATTTTCCTAAAATTGTCAATGAGGGCACCTGAAACAACAGCTTTCTGAGGCTTCCAACTGGCAATCTCCTGCTCTCAAAACTGCTCTGGGGGAGGACAGAAGAGCAGCCGCATCCTACAATAGGAATTATCATCTTTTTATAAGCTCTTCTTCCTGTAGGTACTCATCTGGCTCATCTAAATGCATGTGCTTAATCACATCTCTGCAGACCCACACATATCCATCTGGAGAACATAAGCTTAGGAGAGTTTATTTTCCCATAAACCAGCATACTCTGATAGTCTAGATTTACTTTAAGAAACACAAGTAAAAATAAGGCTTTCTATGCCATAGGATTCATTGGCAACATACTAGTTGTTAAGCATACTAATGTCATGGTGACTGAGGCTCCAGTAATTTCCAATGCCTGATGCAGCTGTCTTCCTGCAGGGTTACTCGACAAGAAAAGGCTAGGAAAACAATGCTTAGATGGGTATTGTGCTAAGATTAGTATATATAAATAATCAAATCCTACCCTATGGACCAGTCAGGCTGTATAGAGCAGTATCACAGAGAACATACATCCCAGCAACTGTCAACACAGATATTAGGAGGCCCAGTTGGTATAAAAGCAGTTAGTCTGGTGCATAAGAATGTCCCCTTCTCTGTGACAGGCCCCCTCACGGTGACTAGTCTCATCCTTTCTAGGCGCTGAAGGCTCTTATGACACTTTTTTTCACACCTTTATTATAGCACTTACTGTTGCATTATGCTTTTATGTTTAGGTGACTGGATTTTCTGTCTAAGTGACAACACCCCAAAGATAAAGATATTTTCTTATTCCCTCCACATACTAGGTGTTCAACAAATGGTTGTCAAATAAATTGAGTGTAGAAAAATGCCTATAACCAAGAGTCGTTCATGATTTAAAATCATTCCTCAGCTTAAAAGTGAATGGTGAGTTTTGTTTTGATTCATATGTATGTGTCTTTTCATTGTGATACTTTCATTTGCATTTTCACTTAATTCTGACTAGAAAAAAATGTATTTTTCCCCCCATTGGTTCCTTTCGTTTAGAAAATTTTCATTCTCTTTACAAAGCAAATGTAACCTTTAAAAGTTTTCCTCAAAAAAAACAACTAAAAATATGAAGAGAAAATCAGAGAACAGATAAATCCAAAAATGCTCATTTATTTTCCTAATTACTCAACTTTTTCTTACCAGGACCATCTTGAAATATAAGTGGTACGTGCACACCCTCTAGTGGTGAGTCTATTCCTCATACAAATTCCACACACAAATTCAATGGAAAGCGTCAGCTTCCACGGTCCAAACCTGAAGGATTAATTAGAAGAAAAATTAAGTTCCTCAACTTAAAGAAAAACAGATAATATGAATATTCACTCATTGATTGAGTCAACATTTATCGACTGTCTAATGCATTGCAGATACTGTTTTAGTAGTTTTGTTTTGTTTTTTTTTTTTTAAGGACACAGTAACTTGGAGATCCTGTTGGACATCCAAGTGGAGATATCAGATAGTCAAATACAAGTTCAGGAGACAATTTCTCAAGAAGAAGAGTAGATAGAGTAGAAGGCTGGGGAATTTACCCTAGGATGGATGCTCCAACATCCTGAGGTCAGGGAGAGGATGAAAGACCAACAAAAACTGAGGAGAGACCCTTGAGTTAGGAGGTAAACCAAGAGAGATTGGATGCTCCAAGTCAGGGGAAGAAGATGTCAAGGAGAATAAATTGACAAACTGGATCAAATGCCAAGTAAGGAAAGAACTATTCCAGTGGAGTGGCTGGAATAAAAGTGGACTAGAATGGGTTCAAGAGATCATGAGAAGAGAGAAAATGGCAACTGGGAGGGCAGACAACTTTTAGAGTAATTTTTCATTCAAAAGAGTAACAGGGAATTGGGCAGAA